GACGGCTTGCATGCCCTCAGAGAGGATGCTGTGTGCCACCTCTGGCACGTATATCATAGGTTCATGCCATCACGGGTCTAGGCTGCTGAGCTGTCCTCTTCTCGTCCCCATTAATTCCGTCTTAAAGACTCAAGGAAATATTTTTAAGATGTAGTGAAACCTTTGAAGCAAATCCAGCTGAAATTTCCCAGGATTAGTGGCAGCCACTAAGGGGTTTGCCATCCCTATCGTTTTCACCCCGTTCTGCCAAAAAAAAAACACCCCAAAACCCTTGAAAGCATTCTTGACATATTCCCTTTAGAGCTTATATTGTTGAATCTTCCATTAAACTGGATCAATTCGACTCTAATCCTATCACCTCTGAATAGCTGAATTGAAACAAATCCTAGCTGACTTGCACAATGCTGTGATCTCTCTTCTCTTCGGGCAGGGCCTGGCAATTCTGGGCATCTGGTTCTTATGTAATCTGGGGGCACCCCCCCCCCCCCCCGTGTCAGAGAGAATCACCAAAAGTCCTAAAGGAAGAGACACTGGAGCAGGGAGCAGCATTCTCTTGCAAAAAAGAAAATGGCAATTTCAATCCCCAGGGTGATGTGATCAAAATTTCAAACACTTATTTAACTGACTCATATTTATGACGGTTGCAGTGTTCCGGGGTGATGTGATCCCCTTTTTGTGACCTTCTGACAAGCAATGTCAACGGGGGAAGCCCGATTCACTTTAACAGCCGTCTTGCTAACTTAACTACTGCAGTGATTCATTCACTGTGGCAGGAAAGGTTGTAAAATGAGGCACTTAACGACTATCTTACTCAGCAGCAGAAACTTGGGGCTCAATTATGGTCGAAAGTCAAGGAGTGTACCTCTTACTCCTTCCTTCCCTTATTCTAGAGTTCCATGTTCAGTGAAATCTCTTCTGATTATACCAGTGTTTCTCAACCTTAGTAACTTGAAGATGTCCAAACTTCAACTCCCAGAATTCCCCAGCCAGCATTCGCTGGCTGGGGAATTCTGGGAGTTGAAGTCCGGACATCTTCAAGTTGCCAAGGTTGAGAAACACTGGTATAATCAGAAGAGATTTCACTGAACATGGAACTCTAGAATAAGGGAAGGAAGGAGTAAGAGGTACGCTCCTTGACTTTCGACCATAATTGAGCCCCA